TGTAATCTGACAATCAAAGCTACCAAAGTACATATTGTTAAATGAGTATATAGTATATATTTGATACATGCAACAATGAACATTATTCTTTTACTCATGAATTTGTTTTTCTGGTGCTGAAATGTTTCTCAATGTTAGTGAATTATTAAAAAAAAAAAACCCACTTAATATCAGGTTAAAATATGATGGAAGCGTGTTACTTAGATTGTAACGGGTATAATATTCCCAAGAGCTAGTAATGCGTTATATTACTGCGTTACAGCAAAAAGCAAAAAATTACAGCAATTGTGTGTTACTTTAGTAACGCATTACTCCCAACACTGATAACCTCCAGTCATCTTAGCTCGGCTGAACTAAACATGCCACAATTTGTTGAGAGGAGAGGGTTTGTGATGGATATGAGGTGGGACAACAGTAGGTGCTCAAAAGACTTCATAACCACAGATGTCAGGGTCTGTGGTCATTTAGTCCTGTCCCCCTTGTTCTTCCTATGGTTGCCCTCTGATAGTGCCTCTGCCTGCAGTGCTTCCTCATGTTGCCCTAAAAAAGTACCTCCTGGCTTCAGGTTGTGAAGCAGAGCTGAGAAAGCAGTAGCAGTTGTATCCATCACCATCTTTACAGTGTTCTTGGATCCCACTCCACGGGCCTGTAGTCAGTCAGCCATCTGCCCAAAACCTTCCATTTCCAATCAGCAGGCTTAGAGAGCGCCATATGTGGGCAGAAACCCCTGAAACAGCTGAGATTGGGCAGGAGAGAGAGAAACACAATAAGCAGCAGCCTTGCTTGTTCGATGAACATGCTGTAAACACAGTGGCAGACACACTAGATGGCGCCCCAGCACCCTCTCCCACTGACCATATCTTGACTCTGTTCTGTGACTTTTTGTGTAAAATGGGTCCTTCATTATTGCCTGGAGTGAAACTTATTTTTGTATGTTTTGTTATAGTTTCATGTTTTACTGTTCACCTGTGGAGCAGTTCCTCCCATACATTGCCATTTATGTGTATATATTATTCAGAAAAACACGAAGGAAGGAAAACCTAGAAAAAGTTGATGCTCGCTGTGCAGAAGTGCTGCAAGCAACACATGATCTGCTAGACCTCTGTACGTATGCCCACACTAACAAAGTCAGCACTGTAGCCCTGACTGATACACTGGGCGGTCAGCATTTGAAGAGAGGAAACTTTTTGTTTGCATTTGTTAGCAAACTGTTGTACAATATCAGCCACATTTTAAATTTTTCTGACTGACATCTCTGGAAGACCCTCTCAACGTGTTGTTGAAAGACTGGTGTGTCATGTGATGTTTGTTCTTCAACACACACACACAGATGTATAGTGATGGTGTAACCCTCCCCTCCATGTCTCTGCTGGGACGTCCTCACAGGCAGCATGTTGTCTCTGGGTCATTCTGCTTCCTCCATCCTCCAGCCGGTGACCCAGAGACCCACCGAGCTCCTCCATCATCCAGGATGTTCCCCTCACTTTCACAGGTGGAGGAAAGCTAGACCTCCACTGTCAGGCCGGTCAGGACAGGAAGTACACGCAAAAAACTACAAAATACCGTGAATGTGAGAATGCATCAAGTTACGTCCTGTGGGGACGTAAAAAACTGACCCGCCTGACAGTGGAGGTCTGCAGTTGGACCCCTCTTGAGGAAGGAAGAGCTCGGCTGGATCCTATGAGGACGTCTGTTGCCGGGCAGAAACAGGCTGCTTGTTGATTGGTCGGCCGATCTGATGGACAGTAAAAGTGGAAATTCTAATATAAATATTCCTCCAGAAGTGTAAAAGGCAATAACAGCAGCAGCAGAGGCTCTGAACGTCTTCATGATGATTCAGCAAATGAAAATGATTCCATGTGTGTGGAATCCAAATCAGAAATGAATCCTAAAAACTCTTTCACTCTGTCTGCTTCCTCTTCTTCAGCCAAAAGACTTCTCTCTTCTTCCTCTTGTGAATCCTGAAGCAGGTTTAACTGAGTCTGGGTCCCTCTGGTTGATCTGGTCTCAGTGAGACTAACAATGGCCGTCCTGGATAACCAGTATCATGAAGCTGCTTATGGACTGCCTCTGTTAACTCAGGGTTTTCCATCCAACTATTCAGTCCAGCTCACTAACAGTTTTGTTATCACCCAGTACATTTAGCTGTGCTCACATTGAGCCTCCGGGGGAAAGTCACACAAATAAGTTATGTTAGTTACTGAAAAGCAGCGGGCGAGGGCAGGGTCATCACCATGGAGACGGGTAGGTTCATTTCTTGCAGTCAGAGCGGGTTAGAAAAAAGTGATCTTCAGATCTATGTAGTGACGTCTGTGACTAGCTCTGATACTGTACGTCCTTTAGTTCCGTTTGTGTTTCTAAACCAAAGATCTTTCTTGTACGTATATTGACAGCAGAACAGATGCTCGTTGAGAGTGTAATCTTAATGCAGCCCCGGGTTGTGGTACCAATCTTCAGAGTAATTTATAAAACTGGACTTATACTGAACAAAATTATAAACGCAACACTTTTATTTTTGCCCCCATTCATCACGCGCTGAACTCAAAGATCTAAGACTTTCTCCGTGTTCACAAAAGGCCCATTTCTCTCCAACGTTGTTCATTAATCTGTTAAAATCTGTGTTAGTGAGCACTTCTCTTTTGCTGAGATAATCCATCCACCTCACAGGTGTGGCATATCAAGATGCTGATCCGACAGCATGGGTATTACACAGGTGTGCCTTAGGCTGGCCACAATAAAAGGCCACTTGAAACTTCCATCACACAGCACGATGCCACAGATGTCGCAGGTTTTGAGGGAGAGTGCAATCGGCATGCTGACTGCAGATACATCCACCAGAGCTGTTGCCCGTGATTTTAATGTTAATTTCTCTACCATAAGCCACCTCCAAAAGGCATTTCAGAGAATTTGGCAGTACATCCAACCGGCCTCACAACCGCGTGTAACCACACCAGCCCAGGACCTCCACATCAAGCATCTTCACCTCCAAGATCATCTGAGATCAGCCACCCACCATAAGATGAACAAAGAACAAAAGGTAATATCATATAGAGGATTATTAAAAGTACATATAGGTAAAATCTATTTTAAGCAGTTTGGTCTAAATCAATGTTTTCATTGTCATGATCAGGAGAATTGCTTGACATGAGTGGTTGTGTCTCAGGAAGGAGGCAGAAATTGAGCTGACATGTCTTCACCTCAGCAGGAGCCAACTTGAGTGAATCTGCGTCTCTTTGCATCGACTAGATTTGGATTTGCTTTAAGTCAGAAGAAAACCACATTCCGCAATAGAAAATAAACACAGTGAATATAGAATAAAATAGATTATTTAATGTAAATACATTTAACTACAACTCAATAATAAAAACAGACAGGTGCTGGTCATATAATTAGAATATCAAGTTGATTTATTTCAGTAATTCCATTCAAAAAGTGAAACTTGGATAATGTATACATTCATTCCACACAGACTGATATATTTCAAGTGTTCATTCCTTTTAATTTTTGTTGATTATAACTGACAACTAATGAAAACCCCAAAATCAGTATCTCAGAAAATTAGAATATTGTGAAAAGGTTCAATATTGAAGACACCTGGTGCCACAGCTAATTAACTCAAAACACCTGCAAAGGCCTTTAAATGGTCTCTCAGTCTAGTTCTGTAGGCTACACAATCATGGGGAAGACTGCTGACTTGACAGCTGTCCAAAAGACGACCAATGGCACCTTGCACAAGGAGGGCAAGACACAAAAGGTCATTGCTAAAGAGGCTGGCTGTTCACAGAGCTCTGTGTCCAAACACATTAATAGAGAGGCGAAGGGAAGGAAAAGATGTGGTAGAAAAAAGTGTACAAGCAGTAGGGATAACCGCACCCTGGAGAGGATTGTGAAACAAAAGCCATTCAAAAATGTGGGGGAGATTCACAAAGAGTGGACTGCAGCTGGAGTCAGTGCTTCAAGAACCACCACGCACAGACGTATGCAAGACATGGGTTTCAGCTGTCGCATTCCTTGTGTCAAGCCACTCTTGAACAAGACACAGGGGGCTGTTACTTTGTCTGTAGTCCGCTGGCAGAACACCTGTGCTTTCTGATAAGGTGCTGTCGTGCTGTTGCCTAGGCGACATACATTTTGTTTTACGGTGGATGGACTGTAACATTACAGAGTTGTTATTTTCTTTAACTTGAAATAATCCCATACTTTGGAAATTTTTTTTCTTTCTCCACTTTGCAAACAGCTCCATTATAATCACGTCGTGTTCACAGCGTAAGCGCGATGTGCGACAGTAATAAATGTCCCTGCTAAACAGTGTGCTGTATAGTTACATGGAATAAACAAAGCATTGATGCAAAGAATTTGTGTCAAGGCATTTTATGAATCAATTTTATCAATGAATCGTTTCAACCCTAATTGATATGATTTTTTACCAGGCCAAGCCTATTTAAAGTCGTAGTTGATTACAGCGCATGGTGCTGCACATATATTCGCGCAGCACCATGTCTCTCTCCCTCCAACACCGCTGCACAAATTTGTCCAACACAACTGTCAATGTCGGAGACCCAAAAAAGGAGGAGCCTAGCTAATAAGGAGAGCTATGTTAACATTAGATCACAGCTCGGTTGTTGCGGTAAGCATGCTGTAAAGAGCGTTAAGTCAATATCAACTGTCATTTTGTAAAGAAAAAGCGCTCTTTTGCACCGCACAGTGGGGTTTGTGTCGGGGTTCTGTGCTCGTGCACGGTTAGCGATCACACTACACGCATACCATGCCAGAGTCCAGTTTAAACGATCACACTGGTCAAACGAACCAAACTTTGGGGGGTAACTGTGCCCAATACGGATCGCATAGTGTGAGTGCGCCCTTAAAGACTCACTAAACCCCCAAACCTCTTATTTCAGCTGATAACCAACGTGTATGGGTATTTAGTAGAGTTGTTGATGGATTCAGGTCCAAATCTGGACTCACATAGTGCTATAAAATGCAGTGACTGCCCGCTACTGGTTGAAACCTGGATACTCCAATTTAATTTTGTTATTGGCTGATAAACCCTCCGGACTGACGCTTTCCAGCTCTTTCCAAATCAAACTTCCTCAGATGTCATCACATGACGTTAGTCCAGCACAGTCACATGATAACAGCTGGTTGTATTCAGGGCAGGAGGAAACAGCTAGCTCGGCTCTGTGGAAAATGTCACACTGACGCTTTGTGGATACATTTGTGTCTTCTAAGAGTTCTCCTGTTGGTATAAGAATTACCACATTGGCCACAGCTGTACGGTTTCTCTCCAGTGTGAACACGTCTGTGGATTTTTAGGTCACCTGATTTAGAGAAAGTTTTTCCACACTGTTCACACCAGTACGGTTTCTCTCCAGTGTGAACACGTTGGTGGATTTTTAGGGCACCTGATTTAAAGAAAGTTTTTCCACACTGCTCACACCAATACGGTTTCTCTCCAGTGTGAACACGTTGGTGGATTTTTAAGTGACCTGATTGAGTGAAAGTTTTTCCACACTGTTCACACCAGTATGGTCTCTTTTCATTATGAACACGTTGGTGGGTTTTTAGTTGACCTGATGCAGCAAAAGTTTTTCCACACTGTTCACACCAGTACGGTTTCTCTCCAGTGTGAACACGGTGGTGGGTTTTTAGGTTATCTAGTGCAGCAAAAGTTTTTCCACACTGTTCACACCTGTGTGGTTTCTCTCCAGTGTGAACACGTTGGTGTTTTTTTAGGGCACCTGATGCAGTGAAAGTTTTCCCACACTGGTCACAGCTGTACGGTTTCTCTCCAGTGTGAAGTCTCAGATGAATCTTCAAATATCCAGATGTTGTGAAGGATCTGTCACAGTGCTCACAGCGGTGACGTTTGATTCCATCTCTTCCTCTCTTCTATAACAGAGAGAAACAGTAAGTGAATGTCATGGTGGAGCGAGCTATCTATAACCATAAATGACAGAGTATATCTTTGAAATCACATACTAACCTACCGTACCACAGTGATTAGGACTTTCTATTACATAGTCAATCATACTCAATATGTACTGAATATGTAATAAATGACAGAAAGTAACAAATTACAATTAATCAAGTTTCTATTATTGAGTAGTTTTTTTGTGCACTTTTGAGGGCCCGAGCATGAAACATGCGAGGTCCATATTAAGTAACAAATTACAATTAATCAAGTTTCTATTATTGAGTAGTTTTTTTGTGCACTTTTGAGGGCCCGAGCATGAAACATGCGAGGTCCATATTGAAACTGAAGGGATTTTTTTTTCTGCAAAGTAATCTAATTTTAAGAATTAATCTAAATCAACATCAAATTTTCACTGTGTAGTCTAAACCCACTGACTATTAACAGTTGTACAAACAGTGAGTTTTCGTGGAACGGCTAACCCATGGCATGGCATCCAAAATCAATGATTCTCTTGGAGCCATAGCCTAAACCCAACAGGAAGTCGGCCATTTTGAATTTTACGGCCATTTTTGGATGATTTACACACTTCATACTTTAACGAACTCCTCCTAGGGATTTAGTCCGACCGACCTCAAATTTCTGCTGTGCCTTCTAAAGGCATTGAAGATGAAAAGTTGTGCTATTTGTGAGTTTTCGTGAATGGGTGTGTCCGTGGCGTCAAAGATCAAGTCTTCACCATGACACAGGAAGTTGTTGTAACTTCAGTGTACATGCTCACATCTGAACCAAACTTTACGTGCTTGATAACTCTCCCACCCCACTATGGAGGACCGATCATGACAGTAAATACAGATATAAATAAATGCTCAATAAATAAATAAGCATCCAATTAAATACACAAAAAAATAAAGTAAATAACTAAATGTAGGTATTAATTAAATTATACAAGGAGACATAAATGTATATATTTTAATTAGCACCTTTACTTATTCACCTTTGTTATAATTACCTTATTTGTTTATTCAACTTTATTTATTATTAATTTTTTAAATGTATTTATTTATGTGTGTGTTTTAATATTTTTGTCTGTTTTATTCTTCCTTTGTATTTTTTTTACCTTATTTATTTTCACATATGGTATTTATTTCTGCCTGTACTTTTTAAATTTCTGTATGCATTTCTGCCTCATTATGCAAATGAGGAGGGGCAACTCTGAAGACAATACTACCAGCAATGTCTTCCTTCTCTTTTCACGTAGACGCTCCGACAGACAGTGCTTTCAGTTTGCTGCATACATGGACACAGAACTGCGGTATAGGGAGAAGCACACGGTCAGCTGGCTGCAGCTAAATCTGGAGTGCACTCGTATTCAATTCTGTATGGTAAATTCAGTTTTAACGGAGCAGAGCGAGCTGACAGGCAGAGTTAGAGACTTTTTCTGTCCGTTTCTCTCTTTACAAAGATGCATGTTGCAGTCAGTCTTCTCTGAAGAGGGCAATGAAGTCTCAGTAGTACACGATGCGAGCACGACATACAACACAATTTATCAAATTACACAACGGATATACAGTATGAAAATAAGATTGATTGGATTATACTCACAGGAAGTATAAAACCTGTTACATGCGTATATTAAAAGTAAAGTAACACAAAAATGTCAGGGAAATTACTTTACTTAGATTTAAGTACTACAGTTGTACATTAGAAATACCTTCCTACCTTTCTGATAGGAAGCCTTCTTGAGGTGGTATAAAACATTTCTTCTTATATTCTTATTTGATTTGTGGACAACTATGACCACATGAATTAAAAAAATTAAACATTTCACTGCCCAAGTCAGCTATAACACAAGTCTTGATCATCAGACTACATGCTGTACAGTATTTGTGGACAGATTTTGTCCCAGGATTTCTTATGCATTTCTTCTTCTTCGTTGCATGATTTAGAATAATAAGGTGAGAAATGGGTCTGTTCTGAGTTCATCCTGCACTGCAGCAGCTAATAAAGTCCATTTAATCCCAAAAACGCTTTTCTTTTAGGCAGGCTGGAGCAGAAAACAACTCACCTTTCTCAAGTTGTACAGTAATGTCACATGTGTATGAAGGTGGATCAAACAAGCTAATCTTAAATGTCAAAGTAGAGAGGAGCCTAGTAGGCCTATTTATTTTCATTCATTACACAATATGAATAAGCTATGCAGACAGTTGTAAAGAAAGAACATCTTTTTCTTCTGTTCTCTACTTGTTATAGTTACACAGTATTAGGGGTGTGGGCTGTATTAAAAGTATCCACTGTTCTCCCATGCTCTAACACACAGTAACGATGAAATGTGTGCTGTTCTCACATTCTTCCTCTGTATGTACACATAAACAACAAGGCAGGGAAATATAAAAGGAATTTATTTTATTGTTTGGGTACATTATTGTTCAGTGCACATGCTCACATCTGAACCAAACTTTACGTGCTTGATAACTCTCCCACCCCGCAGACATCTACACGTCAGTACCGATTTATATTCATAGCGGCAAGTGCTATGTAGCTCCACATAGGGGACACAGGAAGTGACATATAACACCTTCATGCGGCGTCGGAACCGCGTAGCAAATTCACAGCCGCACCGGCAGAGCTCCAGAATGTGCAACTCGGCCGGCTCACACCCGGACGCGCTACAAGTGCGAGGGCCCGCCCAACGCTGCTTGCAGCTTTAATTTTTCTATTTTCTGCAAAGTAGGCTCCATTGACATGGCCTAAACATACTCGAAAATTCACCAAACTTTGCACACATGTCAGGACTGGTAAAAAGTTTCGTATTTTATGGGTTTCGCGCATTGGGGTGGCAAAATAACTCGCTAGCGCCACCTAGAAAATTGGAAAAAATTAGCCCGCGTTCTCGTTCAACCTACATGCACGAAATTTGCTGGGGACATGTATCATATCAAGACGCACAAAAAAGCCTCAAGAACCCATAGCCTAAAGTCAACAGGAAGTCGGCCATTTTGAATTTTACAGCCATTTTTGGATGATTTACACACTTCGTACTTTAACAAACTCCTCCCAGGGATTTAGTCGGATCGACGTCAAATTTCTGCTGTGCCTTCTAAAGGCATTGACGATGAAAAGTTGTGCTATTTGCAAGTTTTCGTCAATGGGCGTGTCTGTGGCGTGGAGTCAAAGATCAAGTCTTCGCCATAACACAGGAAGTTGTTGTAACTTCAGTGTATATGCTCACATCTGGACCAAATGTAGGATGAGAGTCCCGCCCTGAACACATGTACATGCCGACATTCACCCACAGTCATAGCGCCACCTGCTGGCAACAGGAAGTGACTTAACGAAGCAGCCCCCGCCGCACATTTCACCTACGTGCATGAATTTTCTGTGGTACGTGTATCTTGTCCAGACGCACAAAAAAGCCTCTTGGAGCGATGCCCTAAAACGAACAGGAAGTCGGCCATTTGGAATTTTACGTCAAATTGTGGATGATTTACACACTTCGTACTTTAACGAACCCCTCCTAGGGATTTAGTCCGACCGACTTCAAATTTCTGCTGTGCCTTCTAAAGGCATTGAAGATGAAAAGTTGTGCTATTTGCGAGTTTTCGTGAATGGGTGTGTCCGTGGCGTGGCGTCAAAGATCAACTCTTCGCCATGACACAGGAAGTTGTTGTAACTTCAGTGTACATGCTCACATCTGAACCAAACTTTACGTGCTTGATAACTGTCCCACCCCGCAGACATCTACACGCCAATACCGATTTATATTCATAGCGGCAAGTGCTATGTAGCTCCACATAGGGGACACAGGAAGTGACATATAGCACCTTCATGTGGCGTCGGAACCCGTAGCAAATTCACAGCCGCACCGGCAGAGCTCCAGAATGTGCAACTCGGTCGGGGCCCGTCCAACGCTGCTTGCAGCTTTAATTTTTATTTTTTTTACAAGCACTATTTATTTATTCTGTCAAAATAGGATGTTAAGTCCGTCCATAAAGCTAGCTAAACATCATTGGTGATTTAGAGTGCAACTTAGCCTCTCTTCCAGTCTTCTTAAATCACACACATACACACAAACACACTTCTCATTCATAATTTCCCTTTGAAGAGTAGTCTAATGTACTATGGCAATTTACTGCTGAATTTAATAGGAAAAACGGACAACTGTGGGAACTGGACTACTATTTGAGCTTCGTGGGGGTCTGTAGTATAACGGACGTTACCGGCGGGGATTAATAAACAAATAACAGAAGCCTGGACAGAGGCTTCTTTGCTCATTACGTGGTCAACACTCTCTCTCTCTCACACACACACACAGCAGCCCACTATTTGCCCCAGATGTGTGAGATACTGCAACAAAGATTAAGTTTCAAAAGCCTGAAATTAACCAACAAAGACAGCTGCTCAAGGAGAGACGCAAATCCGCCCTTTATGGTATCATATTAATTATTATTAATCATGTCGTAATGACATTCATGCGGTGCGCAGCATAGTTCGTTAGGAAAACGTGTCTCTTTTAGTGTGATGATCTTATTAATGTAATGTACATTTGTGATTAAAAATAATGGCGGTTGGTAAATGAAGTACTGACCCCCTCAGATGGAGGATTTTACTGCTTCAGTAAGAGCTCAGACCCTCCTTATAGACCGTAACTACAACCCTGCTGGACTATATGGACTATCAAACTGTAAAATCTGTAAAAAAGGAACACACATGAAATACAACATGTAGCCTATACCCTGCATTGATTATTTTGTAAATGTCCACTTGAATGAATGGAGACATAATAACTGTAATAATACTTTTACTTTATTCACTGTATACTCACAGATTACACAGTTAGAAAAGGAGCTGGCAGCAGTGACTGATTTACATTATGCAAAACATTTAAATAAGTCTGAAT